AGCTCTGTGCAAGCTACATAAGAAAACTTGGTATTTGGCTTGTTGACCTCAATCAATTTGTTTTATTTTTTTTTGTTTTGTGTAACTGATTTTTCGCCTACAAAATGTGGTTTCTTTTAGTCTTTGGCGTTGCTTTTAAATTATTCAAAATAAGAAGTATAAAAGTACTCAAGTTTTAAAGTGTTCTGACTCCAACCTGTATAGCAGATATGACTTTGAATGCATTTTGCTGAAAAAGTAACCACTGATAACAGTCTAACAACAATCCAGTAACTTTTGAAGTCATGTGCTAGGGAAATATGCATCCATTTCAAAGTTTTGATGTGTCCTATCAGCCCGTCTGCGAACGGTGTACAGAAAACGGCGACAAATTTGAAAAACAGAAAAGAGGTTTTTTTTGATGTTGCTAAGTTTGAGCAAATAGAAAAAAGTGATTGTTTGTACCAGCAACAATATCAGTTCATTGACTACAATGGAAAAGATTCAAAGATTAAACAGCCAGTATCTCTGTTCAACAGTGACATTAGTGAATTTCCGAATCAGTGGCAAGTCTTCCCTTACAACAACAACTTTGTCATTCTGAATAATTCTATTTTTTTAGCCTCCGTAAATACAAAAAATTTTTTAAAATTTAATTTATATTCTACACAATTAGTAAATAACCAAAATTGCAAAATCAATCAATTTCCAATTATGTCACATTTTCAACAAAAGGAAATATAAATATTTTACACAGTAGCTTTGGTAATTAAAATTAATTAATTATTATAATATTAAACTATATGATAGTTCATAAGGTATCATCTGCTAACAGTGCCTTTACGCCGTTTGTGGAAAGTCATAAAAAAAAAGCTTATTAGTTCTTGACTAACCAGTAGCTGCGATCAGAAAAAAAGATATCAGTTCTCATAAGTTGTACATTGTTTCTCGGCATCATTATTAAGAGATCATCATTCAGTTTTTATTTTTCAGTACAAAAAGAAAGTTTTTTTGAAAATTAATGATACCGTTGTTTATATGCAATACTATATTGTCGCAGATAATGTGCCAGCACAAACACTACAACAACAACAACAAAGAAAAAAGAGAAAAAAATTTTCAAAACAACGACCCGTAATAGCCACAGTTAATATGTGGATTTTTTTCAATGCAAAGTATATCAACTCTTACATAGCCTATTGATTCTAGTAAGCCAAAATCATCAGGCACACATATATTACAGAATCAAAACAATTTAGTGAGTTCTACCAAACTGGTTCAGTAATTTTTCATTCAATGTTTTGCTGTAAAATGGTAAAGAAATTAAGTCTACTATGTGTAGTTTGTTATTCATAGTCTTTTCTAAATTTTCCGTCTAAAAATTTGTACAAAACTGAACCATGCCGCTATAGGTAACCCAAAGACACTGAAAAAACTCTGAACTTTTCACCGTATAATTACTCTGATTCAAATGCCAGAATGCTGAGATCAAGTGTAGCAGACGTTTTTAACCAGATTCATTGAACTTAGGTTGTTGTCGTCAGCACTCAAAGCTAGCGATCGTACCAATGAGCTGAGACCGGTCTTCAGTTCGTTGAAGTCGTCTAGTTTTGATTTGATTTCAGACGTCTCTCGAAGCAATTCTCCTACTTGATGCTCTAAAGCCGTTAGGCGCACAGAGTTTGTTTCTTGAACCGAATGCATTTCATGAATCAGTTCATAGGTGCCAGAAGTTGTCTAAAATATAGACCACTGTTCTAAAATATTCTTCTAAAAAACAGTAGAACCAAAAGTGCTAATTAGGTAACGACAGCATAAAAGAAACTTAATCTCAAAAAACTTCATTACCTTTGCAACATCTCCAAGTGAAACTGAATTTTCCGCAAGTTTCCGTTGCTCTCTTTTAACCTGTCGTAATCTAAACTGATATCTACTAACAGCAGCAAATAAATGCCACTTTATCTACTTATTTATTTTTCCTGACTAGACTGCATAAGAAAACAATGCTAAGGCGACAAGTAAAATATAATAAGTGACTGTTCATTGTGAAGTTTAAAGAAGAAAAAGAAAAATTAAGAAAGAAAAAAGACTTTAGAAACATTGTATAAAAATTGCTGGACATTAAAACTAACGAATTAATTGCAATAAGAAATTTTCGTTGATGTAATCGGATTTTTGCAGGATCAATTTTTTCAACCAGACGACGGTTTTTGTAAATTAACCACGTTTCTCGTAACACGTTTGCGGCACTGTGTTTCAGCTGCAATTGGCTACCTTTTAATTGAAAAAACCGTTGTCCACCAAACTGTGTTAATAAATATATTATGAAGGCGCAGTTGCTGAGAAAAACGTGTTCTTTTAGCCAACAATGCTTCAAATTCTTTGAATTGTGTGAGAGCTTGATCTATGCACCAAAATTCTCAACAGTTTATCAACTTTTACTTAGCGCAATTTTAGAATTTTGAAAAATTTAGACTGAACCTAACACTAAACGGAATTTACTCTTCAAGACAAAATGTTATTTACAGTGACTATTCTGAAATGTCTACCTAAAATGCAGCAAAGACAGATGCTAAAACAAAAATCTGAACTAGTTCTGAACGCACTGTAAGACAGACAAACCTATAGCCAATGCAAATCTAATAATTCTTAGGCGCTTTTTTAAACTGTTAATGTAATAAGTCCTGTGGGC